GAGGGGTTAAGATGAACTCACTTTTCAAATCTGCCCACTGACTTTGCCAATCAATAGCTTACAGCTGTTTCGTTTAAATTCTCTGCGCGCGACCAAACAGCAGCGAAGACTGGTTCTAAACTTGCCGCTGCGTTCACCCAAACAGCATCTTGCTGCTGTTTCGTGTTTCTGCCTGCTGCGCGCGACTAACAGCTACGGAAACCACCAGAACCCGTCTGTTTCATCTCCCAAACAGCAGCTAGAATCGTTGTTTCTTACATGTTGTTCAAAGCATACAGCCCGCTACTTTGTTGTTTGCTACGCGAGTTGAAATGGCAGCGCCTGCTGCTGCCTTACGGGATCCGATATGTGCAGACGTCGAGGGAGYAGGGAGGCGGCACAGAAGCGCAAGACGTGGCGCAATACAGCCGCTGATGCTGTTGCTGGTTCGGTGCAGGATGCGGTACAACAAGGTGAGCAACGCGCAAGCTCGGCTGGGCGTCGTGCAGGCAGTCACTGCTGTTGTTCGCTGACTCGGTTTCCCCCTTTCTGGTTTAACAGCGGCCACGGCTGAGTGCTGTGTGCCGGTTGCTTTGATTCTCCCTTTTAACAGCAGCCCCGGCTGTGTGATGTGTGGACTCAAAACCAAACTGCCTCTACACCCTGCTTTCTATGCTGCCCTCCTTCTCCACGATACAGAAGRCTTCCTAAGCTTCTCCTTCTCTCCCTTTCTTTTGTTGTTCTTTCTTCCACTTTAAGCATACATCTCCATAATTTACATGGAGGTTAAGAACCCCCATGGAAGAGGGGAATACTCCAGAGAAAAGGTTTAACTGAAATGGGTAGGTGAAAGGCTGTAGCTATCCCCTTTTCTTGACAGTCTACAGGTCCAAAACACCCCCCCCCCCTTTTTATATAATTTTTTTTGAAAGAAAGAGTTACTAATTTACAAAGAAAGTCCTAAAGGGAAAAAGGACAAGAAAATAAGGTGTTACAAGGTAAATCTTTGAGATTAAGTAATGGATTACAACACTTAAAGATAAGGTATTTTAGTTGTAAGGATAAGATTAGGTTATTTATTAAATAAAAGCAATGAAACTCCTAACGATAAATGTCTCTTTCTGTTCTATTTTTTTTGAAAAAAATCCTCATAGCAATACAAATTTAAAATAAAATAACGCTTCTAAAAGAAAAGGATAAACAATTAAGGGCCAGAACACGTCTTTATTCAAATATACAACAGGTTCAAGTCCGAATCCTGCGACAGACGGGCTTTAAACCCTTCTGCTAGTCTCAGCCGCTGAGTCAGTTTTAAAATACATCATCCCATGTGGTTCCTATGGGGAGGTTCCATGTAAGGTGGGTCAAGATTGCTAATAATCAGCCTTTTATCCAAAAAAACAATTAACAGGGGTAATATCTTCTGGAAAAAAAATGTTGCTGTGACACAAGCGATGTTCAAAGTAGGTTATACAAGTTGAGCGTAACCCTAATAGGTTCATTAAATCAAATTTTAGTTTCGATAGGTTAGCGGAATATATAAAGTCGTACATCTGATATTTTCTTAAGCTGAAAACATGTTAAGCAATAAATGAGTTATTCGGTTTTTCAGCTCGATTTAATATCATTTATAACTAACGAACAAATATGTAAATTCTAATTGTACGCAATCCCATGTCGGTTCACTAAATTCTAGAAATCATAAAATAGGAAGTTGAAGAGAATATTACGAATCAGATGTTAGAATTATTTTAAGACTATACGGATTTTAAAATTAATGTAAATAATACAGAAACGAAGACCTAATTCCTTTTTGAATCTTATAAATATACAAAAAACTTTCATGAATTAATCGAGTTTCAGCTGACATAATAACGTTAGTATGAGATATTAGTTAACTAGTTTTTAACAAATTTGGGGAATGTCACAAAGGGCTTTTGACCTTACGGTATCGTAGTCTTTAGCCTTCTAAGAAGTTAGGGATTCAAAATTCACCAAAGGTGAAGAGGGTGTGTAAGTTTATTTGTTGCATTTGTCGGATATAAATATTATATACTTTAAAAGAAATCGAGGAATGTCAATCATTGGCTGCATCAAAGTCTCCTTGTGTTATGACATGATAAATCCATGATGAAAAGTCGAAATAAATTCTTAAATCTAATTCAGATCTGATATATATACAAAAATATAACTTAAAACTCGACAGTTCTAAACGTATGTTGTATAATCAACGTTGGCAAACCATTAAAGACACCCAGTTTTATATGCCATATACAGTTCTTTTTGAATAAACATATATTACCTGCTAAATATCACCTGTAAGTACACTTTGCCACCAGTATTTACATGCATATTTTTATAAGGAAATTGTTTTTTTCCTTTTGACATCACGTTGTCGACATCTTGTGTCAAAAAGACGAATTCTAGAATATTCCTCATTAACTGAATCTAAATCTTCTTGTCATTATACGAAACTGATACCCAGTCTAATTATTTAATAAAATAATAAAACTATAAACAAATTAGTGCATTCATACTTTATGCACTTTATGGAGCCAAATGAACATACTTTACTCAATAATATCTTCTCAATTATTAAACATAAAGTATTTTGGATTATTCAATGATTATGCAAAATAAATGAATAAATTTCAATTTTTTTTGTCTTTATAATGGAATAAATATAGTCTCTTACCATTTTTTATTTTTTTTTGAAGATGAACTTTTAAGGGCTGTTTGATAGTTGATGAATGGTTTGGTGCAGAATGATTAAATGATCAAAATAATTAAGGGGTTGTTTGCCAAATTTTTTATTAAGCCCTGTATGGAAAAATTTGTCTGTCTGGTTAAATGGATATTGTTGTTTACTTTTTTTTATCTGAACCAACAGTCTAAATAACATAAATGGCCGATTTACTTCCCAATATTAATTATTTGAACATCAAAACAAAAAATCATAAATAGGCCGACAATGAGGTGTCTCATATGAGAAGGAGGTGGTGTTTTAAATAAGGGGTAGGGGTGTCATTTTTGTGGCTGAATGGGGACAACACACCATTTCTATCTGTATGATTAAGTCATGTTCTGTGCGAATAAGCCGTAAGTAAACAACCCAAATGAGTTATGCGAATAAACCATATAGACCAATAAGCCCAATTAAACAGCAAGTAAACAGCCCCTAAGAGATTCTTATAATATAGTGCAAAAATGAAATATAATTGTTCGGTAATTATTTACAATGGAATTTGAGTGTTGAATAGTTAAGTGAGACACATGATACAAAACCATTCAGAAACAAACTTTTTTTTATCAAACAAGATTCATCTTTTAATAATTTATAGACCGTCTCTTAATAAAACTATCAAAAAAAATAAACAAACACCAATAGAAATCACACTTGACTTATGAATTGGTCCTCAATGGATTCAAACTAATTTGACTAAAGTAGTTTGACATAATTGAAGGCTATTTAGGTTTCTTTTAGGTCAAATATGTAATGTGTAAATCTTTATATTTAAAAATTATTGATAACCTATAAATTCATTTATTTTATATCATATATTTAATTTATTAATTGTGGTTTACTCGTTTTAAGGTTAGTAGTTGTAATTGTCGCTCTTTTCTCAATCCCGTATTATCATGGCAAGTCAACAACGAGAAACATCCAACACGATATGTTCACACCGAACATGTCGGCCACGAGATTGATTATCATTATGTGACACATAAAAATAAAAAAAAATGGTTGATTAAAAAAATTATGATTAATTAAAAGTATAGTGAATTACATTGATGGTCCTCGTGTTTTGCTCAAATTTTGGAATTAGTCCTGAAAACCAACTGTTATCACTGATGGTCCTTAACTTTTCAGTTTCATAACGCTCGTGGTCTCTAGAGTTAACGTTGTTAGTTAACAACCGTTAAGAGATACAAATCAATCTTGGAAAAACTACATTAGTCGGTTACAAATCAATTTTTTAAAATTAGAGTACATATCTATACTATATTGTAAAGCATTTTGATAAAAACTTTTAAAAATCATTCTTTATGCATGAAGTGCTGTGTATTAATGCATATTACTTAAATGTTAAGATTACAAGTAAATTGTGCATAAGTACAACTTATTAAAGCTCCATTTTTGAATTCGTATAACTAACTACAGATAAACATAATTAAATACAGGATAAACATCTCATTTTAAATATAAAAAATCTAAAATATAATTAAGATAATCAATGAGTTCTAACATAATCATTATCTTTATAAAATTTTATTGTTAAGCCAAAAATAAATTAATTCACTAAATCGTAAAAACATTATCTTTCTCAAAACAACATAAATCGTATTATATCAACATAGACAAAAAACAAAACTACATTGTGCAAGTACCTTTCTTGTAAATAAAAATCACAATTGATTTAGAGTGAATTGCACTTTTGATCCTTGTAATTTTTTTAATGACTAATTTTCTTTTAACGGTTGTTAACCGACAATGTTAACGTTAAGAACTATAATTGTTATGAAATTGAAAAGTTAAGGACCTTTCGAATCAATAATTTATTTTAAAAACCAAATCTGTATTTTTAACAAACCAGAAGGACCAAAAGTGTAATTCACACTTAAAAGTACAATAATTAAAAGTGGAAAACAATTAAAAAGCAATTAGGTGTGGAAGTTGGCATTCTTTTTTCAGTCACACGTGACGTGTCGCAAAATCACGAAAAAAAAATAAAAAATAAAACAATGGGTATGGCCGCTCGTTGAATCTCCAGCGAAACTACGTCCTCCAATCATTACCTCACAGTAGGCCCCCCACTCTCCCCAATACACTCACTCTCCGCCCCCCATTTATATGGCTTCCGCCCTCCAAATTCAGCATACCACCATCGCCAACCACCATCAACCACCATGCATATTACAATAACCATCTATGGAAACAAACCCAGCAACCCATCATAACCCCATATCAAATCTACACATATAACATCCATCAACTATCCAACCGCCATTGTTAAACAAAAATGGAAGATTGCGGCGATAATCATCACTCCACCGCCGGTGGCCGGAAGATAATTTTTGGGAAATACGAGATGGGGAGGTTATTGGGACAAGGAACGTTTGCAAAGGTGTACTACGCGAAGGATCTTATATCATCGGAAAGTGTCGCCATTAAAGTCATCAAAAAGGATCAAGTTCGAAAAGAAGGTTTAATGGAGCAAATCACTCGTGAGATCTCCGTGATGAGACTCGTCCGCCACCCAAACGTCGTCGAATTGAAGGAAGTTATGGCCACCAAACGGAGGGTTTTTTTCGTTATGGAATACATCACCGGCGGCGAGCTTTTCGCCAAAGTAGTGAAGGGAAAATTGCAAGAAGATGTAGCAAGAAAATATTTTCAGCAGTTAATCAGCGCCGTAGATTTCTGCCATAGCCGCGGTGTTTCCCACCGTGATTTGAAGCCGGAAAATCTCCTCCTTGACGCAAACGGCGATCTGAAAGTTTCCGATTTTGGGTTGTCGGCGTTGCCGGAACAGTTGAGAAACGACGGATTGCTTCATACCCAGTGTGGAACGCCGGCGTATGTTGCACCGGAAGTTCTCCGGCGAAAAGGGTATGACGGCGCCACGGCGGATATTTGGTCTTGTGGGGTGATTTTATATGTTTTGCTCGCCGGTTTTCTTCCATTCCAACATGAAAATATCATGCATATGTATAAGAAGATCTTCAAAGCTGAGTATGAATTCCCACCGTGGTTCTCCGTCGACTCACGGCGGTTGATTTCCAAGATTTTAATGGTGGATCCGTCACGTAGAATTACAATTCCGGCGATCATGCGGTTACCTTGGTTCTTAAAAGGGTTTCAAAGACCACTCGCTTTCTCCATTAAAGAATCCGATAACAACGAGTCCAAAGATGGCGGAACCGAATCAGAAAAGTCAAAGACATCGCCACCGTTCTACAACGCTTTCGAGTTCATTTCCTCCATGTCTTCCGGCTTCGATTTATCAAACATGTTTGAGAAGAATCGAAAATCGAGTTCTTTGTTCACTTCAACGTATTCTGCTTCCGCCATTGTTAAGAAGCTCGAATCAGCTGCTAAGAAGTTGAATTTGCAGCTTTTAAATTCAAAGCAGAACGAGTATAAAGTGAAGATGCAGAGGACGTCGGAGGGTCGGAAAGGTAAGTTGTCGGTGACGGCGGAGGTGTTCGCGGTGGCTCCGGAGGTTTCGGTGGTGGAGTTTTCTAAGTCAGCAGGTGATACATTGGAGTACAAAAAGTTTTGTGAGGAGGATGTGAGACCTGCCCTAAACGACATCGTTTGGAGGTGGCAAGGGGAAGACGACAATAACTAATTAACTGATTTGTCAGTTGTTTTGATAGTTGTGATGTCTGTCCTCTGTACAAATATATATATATATTTTTTGAAATACAACTTTTAATTACATATTAATCTTTTTGTTCAAGATTTTAACCGTAAAAATACGGTCAATTGTGTGGCTCAACATTCAGGTTAGCAGCCGGAATGGAGCCACTGGTGAGACAAGAGTAACCGGAATGGAACCAACTTTTTCTGCTTGACGAAGTAGCAGTTTGAATTCTCGGGTGTGTGGTTATAATTCGTCTTGAAAAGTACAACAAAATATATTTGAGATAGAAGTTTTTCAACATAAAACACACGCTACACCACTCTACTGATTCAAGTGTAGTAGTGACCAGAAAATCACAAAAGCCCGAAACCCAATCCAAGTTTGGTTCAAAAAAGCCTGGGAACTCGAAGCTTAGATGGTTAAGTGTAAAAGCTTAATTAGGGCTGAGTTTTCTAATCAGAAGTCTGACTTGAAAAAGCATGATCGAACCCACTTTATCACAAAAAAAACTGGACCGAGGGAAAAAAGGAACTTTTTGATTTTCGCTTACTAGAAATAGGTTTGGAAGGAAGGATTAAGCCTTGTGCATCTATAGCAACGACAAGCCCCAACAATGAAAATAAGTTGTAAACAGTGAGTCTTAAGGGGTCGTTTACCAAGTCACATTATCTTACTGGATCAATATGGTAAGGACTAAAAATTTTACCCGATAAGAGTACCTGGTAAATGAGATCAATAACTCTTATCACGGTCAGCGCTTACTGGGTACCGTTTTTGTTGACTAAAATCTTATTCGGTAAGTAAGTGATAGTGTTAATTTTTTCGGTAATCGCTTACCGGATGAGTGTTTGGTAAACGACCCCTAAATAAACATTTCTTATATGTTAAATGAACTTTATTTTACAATTTTATTTTCATATACATCAAAATTGGAGTTTTTTATATTAATATTTTCACATTTTTTAATTAAAAAAATTGTATCTAGCGAAACATAAGTAAGGGACTACCGGATTGGTTTTTCATGAAGTCCTACAAGAATAAAGTTGTCTTTAGTTTTGTTTTAATGTACACTTAGGGAGTGTTTGGGATTGCTTATAAAAACAAATTATTGACTTATTCTGGTGTGACACAAGTAATAAGCACTTTTTGAGTGTCTGGATAAACAGCTTATACCGGTGCCAAACCGGTAATAATGAGGTTTTTTAAGAAGTTAAATAATTTTAACTTATAATAAGTTGATAAGAACTTTTATAAAAAAACATAAATTGTTTCAAATAAGCAATCTCAAACACCCCTTATTGTATTTAGAAAATCAATATACTCACTTCAATCAAAAACCATGTCGAAACCTTGTTTAAGAACGATACAAACATCACGACTTCTAGGTGGCGAGATCAAGATCTATGGCGGGATAAATAAAGGTTTTCGGTAGATCATACTTTATAGGTGTTAAAGAAATTACAATACTGTTAGTCTGTTAGTGTAACTTTAGAGCAGAAAGGTTGTTTGACACATAACTTTGGATTTTTAAACAAACTTCACACTTGAGTTGTTTGTTTACCTCTTAATAGTTCTATTAAAAGGCTGTCTCTGAATCGTTAAGAGGTCAATTTTGTTTGGCGAAAAAAAGTCCGTCTCTTAATGGTTCTAAAATCCTCTGAATGATTTTGCATCTGTGGCCTCCGTTAACCATTCAACGCTTTAATTTCATTGTAAACAATTACCAAACAATTATATTTCATTTTGCACTATATCACGAGAACCTATTAATCATTCTGACCACTTAATCATTATGCACTAAACCATTCAGCAACTACCAAACAGCCCCTAAACAATTATAGTATAGAAGTAAAAGAGTTTAATAGAAGAGATACAAATACTTAAACGCAGAGTGGTATTTAAATAAAAAAAATTATATGTCGATAAACATCAGCAAATGACAAAACTTTCTCAATAGCTTTTTCGGCTGGAAAATCAGCTCCGAATTCCTATCTCGGTAGCTTCATCTTCTTCAGAAACTGAGAATGCTTTAAAATATTATTTAAATTAAATTTTAATGATGTAAAATGTAAATGATGACATGTGTCTAGAAGAAAATTATGTCTATGAATTTGTTATCCTCATGACATGAGGTGGCGACTAATAATTTACATGGGTATTCATTTGAAAATCTATAAAATTGTGATAAATTTGAGAACTGGTGCATCATGTGTTATTTCACATGATTTTTTTCATTTACAACATATTTGTTTTACAATATGGACATTTTTATGTGTTTGTGAAACAAAAAATAAAACTAAAAAATTTCGCATCGTGAACTGAATACATATGAAACAAACACATTGTGAAACAGAGATATATATATATATATATATATATTAAATTTTTGTCTTATATAAAAAGAAATCATGTGAAACAATATCTTACCATAATAGTTATAATAATATATGAAGTTCTTAAATGATTAAGCTCCCATTTTAGATACATATACATACTTCTACTTATGACATGTAAAATCGGCAATAAACCGTCATGTTTCATCGATATGACATCTCAAACCATATCCACAACCATCGCAGATTTTGGTGCATAAGCAACGAATACCCAAACTTTTTAAATATAACTTCAGGATATCATACATTTATTGAAAAGAATTTCATAAAATAAAGAAAGTATATTGGATTATAATGGTTTGTAGATAAGGTTGGTTGTTATTAATTACATCAGTATGTTTCTTTTTAATAAAAAATACACCGTAGATTGATCAGTCACGATTTTAAATCATTGAATGCCTTTAAATTATGATGGGGATCATGGGGTTAACAGTCTGTAGATAAAAAAAATGAAATACACAAATATATTAACCGTTTGAAAACTAATTTTAGATTAAAAAAATTCATGTCATTAACCACGTCAGCAAATAATACTGAGTTAAATATCATATCACTTACGACATCAGCATGATAACCGGTAACTCGAGTACTTAAATATTTAACACTTTACATATTAGAGACCAAAATGAAATTTTTTTAAAAGTACGTTACCTAAAAAAAGGAATTAAATTAAAGTACGTTACTTTTACATACAATTTACCTTAAGTTAAATCATAAATTAGATTTAATATTTGTCCTCCTAAAATAAAGTTGTGTAACTTATTTATAAATAAAAAAAATTTATTCTCTATTTTACTTTAACATATTTATATATTGTTTTCCACCAATAAAATTTAAACTATTACTATTTTTGTATGAAAAAAATTAAAAAAACCATAATCTATACTATCTTATAAAGCATTTGCCTAAAACTCTTAAAAACTCTTAAAACTCTTAAAAACTCTTAA